AAAATTTAATACTCCTGTGATGATGATAATAATTCAGATAAAAAAAAGAAAAAAAGCTGCCTATCTACCTATTGGACAAACTAAAATCGTTCGACCACAGAATGCCGGACTAGAGAGGTACAACCTGTATGTGTGTGTGTGTGTGTGTGTGTGTGCATATATATATATATATATATATATATATATATATATATATATATATATATATATATATATATATATATATATATATATATATATATATATATATATATATATATATATATATATATATATATATATATATATATATATATATATATTACTACCCCGATTTACGCGGTCAATTGAACCCACAGGGTACCGCGTAAAGTGAACAACAGAACATATGTGATTAATACCAATAGAGACTAGCACGACCCCCCCAAACTCCACTTTTTGACGACACACAACTATGTTGTAGTAAAAATATTATCTTAACTTTATGATGGTATGCACACACAATAAATATAGAAGAGGTTAGGTTAGGAAAAATAAAGGTTAAGTTAGGAAAAATAAAGGTTAGGTTAGGAAAACTAAAGGTTGGGTGTAACACTTACGTTAGTAGAAGAGATGGGTCTGCATACGGGGATGGAGGCTGGTTCCGAGGCAGAGGGCAGATTACTGGCCCTCAGGTGAATCACCATTACTAGGTGCATCACTATCAGTTATAGTTGTCAGGGCTTCCCTGACAAATCCCTCAAAGTCACTTTCACTGTCACTATCACTGGCTCTGGCTGGCTGTGGTGGGTTGCGGGCGAAGAACTCGGTAATGCTTTTTTGACGGCTAGTGTTGATGTTGTCTTGATACACCTTGATGTACGGCTCCATAGCCTGCACCAGCCGGGTATGGAAGACTTCATAGCGGTCATCGTCATGGTCGTTGGAAAGGAAGAGCTTCAATTTCTCTGCACACTCGATGGCACCCTTAATATTACTCTGCGTTAACTTGTGTTCTTCGGAGATTGACGCACCATCTTCCTCTTCACTGACGTGCTCATCTTCCAACATCTCGTCAGCAGTCATTTCAGGATCTCTGATCACCTCCAGGATATCTTCGTTGGTGGTCTCGGAGAAGCCTTCAGCTGTAATACTGTGCGCAGCTTCTCTTGCAAGGTCCAATGCCACTGTCACAGACTGAACCTCACCAGTCACAGGTTGACTCCGCTTCTCACCTGGTATGCCATGCAACACATGCCTCCATGCGTGATGAATCGTAGCTATAGACAGCTGATCCCATGACTCCACCAAGAAGTCTACAGCTTGTTTGACGTTAAATTTCTTCCAAAACTGTTTGACGAGAACTTCTTGAGTCACCACCTCTTGTTCCTTGTCCTCGTCGCTTTTACTCTCGCTGTCGGTGTCACCCAGCTCACGCAACTCATCCTTGGCGTTGGTACAGTCGTTCAGGAGCTTGAATTTCTTTGCCGAGTATGCAGCTTTAACATTGCAGATCAACTCCTGGTCCATAGGCTGGATTAATGATGTAGTGTTGGGAGGAATGAAGACCACTTTTACGTTGGGGTGATGATCCATAAGTAGGGGCGAGTGTCCTGGTGCGTTGTCAAGGAGCAACAAAATCTTGAATGGAACATTTTTTTGCTCGCAGAATTTCTTCACGTTGGGAATGAAACAGTCATCAAACCAGGAGAGTGACAGAACAGAGAACATCCACGCCTTGCGTGCGGTCAGCCAGTGGACATTAATCTTGCTCATGTCCACGTTCTTGTAGGCGTGCGGCTTGCGGGCTGTGTGAATCACCGATAACTTTGGTTTACAGGAACCGGAGGCATTGGTGGGAAAGAGGACGGTGATACGCTCCTGCAACTTCCGACCCCGAATCTTGCTGGCAGACTGGACAACAAAGGTCTTGGTAGGCAGCTTTTTCCAAAAAAGGCCGGATTCGTCCATGTTGAACACCTGGTCGTCAGTGAACTGCCCTTCCTCCATAACCTCACGTAAGAACGGAGGAAAATCTCTAGCCGCCACACGGTCAGCACTCGCTTCTTCACCACCAATGTTGATGTTGGTGATATTGTTCCTCCTCTTAAACCTATGCAGCCAACCAGAGGAAGCATTGAAGGGTTTGGGCTCTGCAATTCCCATCTTACGTGACACTGCTGCATACAGTTCACATGCGTACTCTAGAACAGATCGCGTGTCCACCGCCATGTTGCGTCACGCCTGATGAATCAAATAACTCACCAGCAAATTGTCCACCTTTAGCAGCACCTTGTTCTGACAATACTTGATCATTGAGGCACCTGCAGACTTTGTGATTCTCATGTGCTCTTTGATCTTGGCTGCATCCTTCTTAATAGTACGAATCGTAGATTCGTTCACTCCATGCTGGCGCGTGAGATCAGCTTGACGTGTTCCTTTCTCCAAATCTTGAATTTTCTGGTATTTCACTTCATAGCTTAGGGAACGGCGTATCTTCTTTGGCTTAGGGCGGCTGGGTCCAGGTAAGGAAAGGTTTCTCTCTGGTGGCGGTGGTCCGGCGGAAGCCATTTTACAGAACAATGGATGCACGTATACACGGTGTGGCCTGGAGGGATGAAACTGCCGCGGTTAGGTCAAGCGTCGTCTTTCCTCCCTCCCTCCCGCGGGTGGACACGTCATATTACTTTAAACCAATTACAGCTAGCAGCGGAGGGAGGTAGGGATGCATAGCCAGTCACAGTCCGATACGTCATATGACATCAACGCAACAGAGACATGCACTGCGCAACCTTACCGCGCGGCTTGCCCAGGCGGAGGCCGGTGCAGGCGGGAGGGGCGAATCTAAAAATAGCGTCGAGCCAGACACTCTACCCGTATATGGGTAGATGAACCGTGGAAAGTGAATGTTCGGTTCTGGCGACGCACCGCGTAAATGAGAAAACACGGAAAGTGAAACCGCGTAAAGCGGGGTAATAGTGAGTTCTGCTATAACGCGTGTTTTGATAACGCAAATTTGCTCTAACGCGATTTATGAATTAGGAACGATATTTGTATAACGCGAACGCTTGTTTGCTATAACGCGATTTTTGCTTACTATTTCTCCAATTTTGTGGTACTGTATTAACTGTGAATATAGTAAAGAAGAATATCAACAAGAAGCGTTCTGGTGATAGAATTCCCGGTGATGATCGTAAAAGAAAGGATATAACACTTGAAGAGAAGCTCGATTTTATCAACCTCAAAATCACCCTTCTCCCCCATCAAGTAAAGTGTTACATTTACTGTATGATTTCATTATTAGATATGAATGTAACATTTATTTAGACTGTGTTAGGCTAACTACTAAATTTTTTCGATTTCGAGTAATCTGCACCTAACCCTATTTTCTCCATAAGCCCTGTTATTTCTATTACGCGATTTTCTATAACACGATATTTTACAAGAACACAATTATCGCGTTATAGCAGAACTACCTGTACTGTATATATATAAAGTGGTTCCTCGGTTAACGAACACAATTCGTTCCAGAAGGTCGTTCGTTAACCGAAACCATTGTTTCAATGGGATTTTGGGCAATTGGATCCAGCTCACCGAAAATTACACACAAACTAAAAATAAATGCAGTAAGTACACTTACTTTGCGGTGTGCATGTAGAAGGCTCCTGGTTGATGATGATGATGGGAATTAGAAGTGGGGGTGGAGGAGAAGGGAGAAGAGAAAGCAGTGGGGGTGGAAGAGAAGTCACCCCATGCTTCATGTCGCCATTTCACCCATAAAATTTTAATTTCACTTGGTGTAATTCAAGATTATTTTCTTTAAATCAACACTGCACTGCATTATATATTGTCAATATGTAAAATAAATTTCAGAATGACCAATAATTGTACTGTAAAAATGTAAAAATAGTTTATGTTCAAGAGAGTCTCAAGCAAGATGCTTCCTCCACTGAGCAGAGACACAAACTGACGCCATTCTGGGTGAGTCAAGTGGCTGTTTGGCACGCTAAAAACTAGTTCCCTGTACTTCAGTTATGTTAAATAATTGTTAAAATGACTAAAAAAATTTATATACGACTTTTAAAATTATTGAATAGTACAACCTTCTTGATATTTACTCAAATGGTAACGAATTTAAGCCCTAAAACCTATTACTGTATTGGCGGACTAATACTACAGCTGGTGAGCAGGCGAAAACATGTTGGGAAAAATTCGTAAGGAATTCGTTTATCAAATTTTTTTCGTTAACCGAATTGAATATTTTTTGGAAGGTAATTCGTTAACTGAGGCGTTCGTTAACCGGGGGATCACTGTAATGTAAAAAATTTTCAACTGTATCTTTGGGTAGATTCACATAAATTTCTGGGTGTCTCTTTTTCTTCTCAGCACCACGAGAACTCTCGAGAACTCTCACTTTTACGCTTGCCAGCCATTTTAAATGGAATTAAAAATCAAAATTTTGTTAGTTCACAGCGCAATCACTAACGTTGGGACTCGAAAATACGCAATTTTAATTTTATTTTTTGGACAACTGGGGCAGTCATATGTCCGGGTGGTCATAGGTCGAGTATGTCGTAAGTCGAGGAGTAGCTGTTGTAGTAGGAGCAACTGTCCGAGATGTTGTTTCTGTAGAAATTGTTATACTGTATTGGAGATTGGAAGCTTGTCCTCATTTATATGCACTATCTATATCAGAAACCCTTTACTTTCAAAATATATTTGTTATTTCTTAGAGTGGTTCAAATAAGACAGAACCTAAAGTCAACTGCCAGAACAAGTGAGATTGAATGGATTTGAATCCATGATTTAACTGAATGAGAATTGTTCCTTTGTCCACCTAGATTATTTTATCCCCAAGTTAAACCTCTTAACCCCTTCACTTTGGGGTCACCACTTTTAAAATTTTATTTAGCTAATGCCAGAGAATGTTTCACTGGTAAATCTTACAGGTAATTTTTTCTCTTCCATTCAGTCATTAAATGAGTTATACTAACGTTATTTGCTTTGTCTATTTATGTTTTTTTGTGATTGTTTATCCTCAG